GGCCTCCAAATGAATAATTGAAAAACTCATAATAACTAGGAAAAGGATCGGGACGTCTACCGGTCCGTTTGGGAAGCCCTTTCTGCAGACGAGCTAGAGCGAGGGGAGTGTAGTAGAGGCGCGATAATCCGAAGCAATTGAGACTGACATTAATAGACTTGGACTTTACTACTTAGACTTCGATTACACGGAAGAAAAGAAAATCATAACAATTGTCAATTACAATATAAAACGAAGTCAAATATAACTTAAAGGTACTATTAATACATAAATACATTAACATACATGTATACATTACTTTTCAAATTCAGTATTACTATTGTAGTAACGCACTGTACAATGAACAAAACAAATGAGCGCGAACAAGTTGCAACGAGGTGGCAGACTAGCACTAACACGTGACCTTCAACGCAGTGATGCCCACCCGTCAAGAACCAGCTCTAGATTATCGCCGCTCCTTCGCTTGTTTGGATTGGCGAGGCTTGTATTATCGCAACTAGTGTAAAATCAAACTAATTCTTTATTTCATTTTAATTCATTATTAAACATCGTAATGTATCTCGTGATTTCCACCTCTACTTTTAAAAATACAAATCGTTGTTCAGAAAAGTTATAAAGCAGGCTAAAAGCATGAAACAAGATATTTTAAGCTCAAATAAAAAACAAAAACAATGTGGATAACGATTGAGTAATGAACGATCTATGGCTAGTCTCTTCAGTGAATACTTTTTTTGAGAATTGCTACTCATCTCACTATGGGCCTATTCAGCCAGAAAATTCAACATAAGACGTTTTTATCAAAATTTCGGGATCGATGTTCGTTTCCGTAATTTCTTCGTATGGAATTCTCAAAATAATAGAAAAAATTAAAAAATAATATTCGTCCTGATTGTTTGCTAGGCCGGATTAGTTGTGTGCCGTTTTAGCTTGCATATTTAATGCATCCTTGCGCACCGGAACTTTTCCAGATTATTTCAGAATAGCGAAGATTAAGCCGCTTTTCAAAAAAGGAACAAAAATGAAAATCAAAATTTTATTCAATTTTATATCAATTTCTCTTTTGTAATTTTTTTTCAAAAATATTAGTGACTTTTTTACGTACGAATGGAAACCTTTCTCAAAAAACACAGCGTTTTCAGATTGGCAACATGGATTTAGAAAATAAAAATTACGAAAACACATTTTATTTTCTTAAAAATGTCGTTTCATCAATGGATCAAAACCAAGCACCTATTGGAATAGTATTAGATCTTTCAAAAGCTTTTGGCGTCATTGATCATAACATTTTAGTTTCAAAATTTCCTTCTTATGGAATCCGTGGTATTGTACCCAATTGGTTGTGTTCGTACCTTATATAACGATGTGAGAGAGTAGGAATGCCGTACTGCAGGCTGCGTACGGCTACGACTGCTTCCGCGTGCGTTCTGCACCCAAGAGCCAGACGTCAGCCCACCAGAGCGGCGAAAGTGCAAGGAGTGGGGATGGCACCTTGGCTGGAAGGGGATCAACCTGCCATTTGCACAGAGAGGTGGTCGCGGCCCGTAGATTCAATGGCTGGGAGTCAAATGCAATGATCCATGCTGTGGAATTATTTGCCCATTTACTCGTATTTAAATGAGTAATGTCCCGTATTTCTGGCTACAAGGGCTATAATTCACCGTTTATGTGTGTCTGTGCACTGCTATGGAATGACATACTTTCCTTTTCTATTTTATTTAAGTTGATGCTCATTGTGACTTTAAAACATTATTTTAAAGCAGGCCTTTGAAAAAAAATAATTCTAACTATTTACATTTCAAACATTGATTTTCTCCGGTAATGATATATTCTCTAAATTATAGCAAAACGAAGGAAATTATAAGAGCAATCTCTCGCATCATGATTGCAGTGGCGGCTGGTGATCATGCTATTTAGAGAGTACAACGGCTCTCTTCTCTCTCCNNNTCTCTCTCTCTCTCTCTCTCTCTCTCTCTCTCTCTCTCTCTCTCTCATACATACGGCTATACTTATATATTCTTTAACAAATAATGACCATTAAACACAAAGCATCTTATGAAGTTTGATAGTATCTTGAACAGTACCTTTGTATTAACAGTGAGGGTTGGCCTATTTTTTTTTTCACAACAGCCACTTCGTTTTTGCTAGGCAAGCTCTCCGAAATACATACGACTAGGGGCGGGTTACCGCGTTGCGACTCAGTCCATTCCAGAAACGATTTTCCATGAGTGTCAAGAGTTCGATTTGTCACATTGATTCGAAACAATTTAACTCGTACTTTTGCTGCAGAGTATTTTCCATAAGCTCGCTGCAAATTTAAGGTTAAAAGTTCAAGTTCCTATAACCAACACAAAAAACGTGCATAGTTTTCCGTATATCTGTGTGAAATACAAAGTATGTTTCGCTTCAGACAACGGTGTTTCTTTTCGGCAATTTTTTCTTTGACTTTTTCATTGAAGTCATTGATTTCTCGCGTTTAATGTTTTCGACGCTATTCATTATTTCGTTCGACAGACACACTTGCCAGAAAAACGAACACTTTAACTTCGGTTTTTTAAAACGCATTGAAAAGTAGCCTACTGCATACGTTTTCAAATTACATTTGGGTTTTCACATGCTTTGGAGTGAATTTGTAATAGCAACTCGCTTTAAACCAGAAAATGTACATATAACATTCAATTAACTACTTGCGAATGCAACACTGCACAGCAATGTGTTCGCGTTTCGCGCGCGAGCGAAGAAATGCTATTTTGGAAGGGATGAAAGTTCATTTAAGTGGAAAGATACCTCACACGTCTTTGATTTAGTGTCTTGCTTTTCTTCAAAACTTGTGCTATCCGAATGTTATATCGTAAGATACGTCAAGGCTCTCGCAGATATCACCACTGCGTCTGCGCAGTAATATTCGCACCACCAGCCGATAACTCCAACTTTCCATAAGCCACCGTTGTTCCCCGTCTTACCGCTGCAGCCCCTTCGCAACCTATAACGCCCTTTCCTCGTTCGCATTTCTCGAGGGTGCTCCGGCTGGCGTTAACGAAGGCTGGCCTTCACATTGTCAATCGCAGCTTCCGAACGACGCGATTTTTGAAATACCACGTTTAGGAAACTCTCTGAGAGTAAATGTTAAATAGAATGCAAAGGGCTTAATTTTTATACGATGTAAACGATTATGAATAGTGTTCGTTGATTTGGTATTATAAATCTATAAAGCACTCGTGTCTGTGACACGATATAGATTTAGAGCTGAAAGTAGTAATAAATTTTTTAAGAATTATTTTTTTGCATTGATAGAACCGTATTCAATTAAACATAGTTAATGAAAAAATAGTTTATTACTGTCATCATACAAAAACAATTCAGTATAATAACTTTGTGTTTAGAATCACACTAAATTTGTGGTTACTTTGTAGCAAAGCGAATTACATAATCAGCCGTGCAAGACATTATAATACGTGGTGTCTAAATCAAATATGTATGTCTAATTCGTTTTAGATTCATATTTCACATTGTCATATATCGACCACAAACATTGTCAATATACTCTTAATACAAATGCCAATATTACTTCATACTGTATGTAGCAGCCTGTCGTGTTCTCGCCGATTGCTATTTCAATTTACGCGCAACGATTCGAGTTGCGCATTCTCATGGGTAGTTCCCACTCCAAAAATGAGTCTCATTACCACTCTTCCTAGCATGCTGGATTTGCAATCGAGTGGCTCGCGCTCGGCTCCCGATGTCAGAGAAAGTGCAAAATTCTGTGCAGGCGTGCCGTACTGGAATGAAGGGACATTATATACACATCTTTCCGTGTCTCTTCCCACTGTACGTTAACCATAAGCCTTCGACAATTCGAAACGGAAGAACAGTTCTCGTTGTGAATTATACTAATATTCTTTGCAATAATTGGTTCCGTAAAAACGGAAAAGTGTTTCAATGCAGTTTGCCATTTCAAATAAACAATTACATTAAAAATGAACTATGTGTAATTGACCGATGTTAATGTAACAAACTTTTTAAATTGAATTGTTTGCCTTATTTCACGTGGCGAGACTCAAGCCATGAGGTCTGCTCTTCCGAGTGATCACGCAAATTTCGCTAAGCTCTCTTCACCAACTAGCGGAGAAAGGAGCTATTTCTTGGGCGACAAAACATACGATTTCAATTTAGCTCAGATGATTCATTTTGGCTTGATCTTTTACATGCAGTAAATCTAATATGGGACAACGGGCTTTACTTCCCCTCCAAAAGAAGGCGTACGAAGGTTTTTTTCGCCCTAAATCCGTTCTGGATTTTGCGTGTTCTCCTGTTGGCGAAAGTTTTAGAAGTCGCTCTTGTGGGAAAAGCGCGGAAACAATTCTTCGGAAAATAGTTATGCGGGTTGGATTAATTGATTAGTGTTTCCGGACGCGTTATTACTCCTGTTAGTGCACAGTATTTTTTTTTTATCGCGGGAGGTCGCAGAGATCTTCCCCCGCTGGCTGGCGAGATCCGGATTCAACCTACGTCGGCTTGCGGGGATTTTTCCTAACCACGCATCTCCCAACAGCGTAGCACTGCCTCAGCCGGGACAAATTCTAAGCCCCACTCGGTAGTGTAATGCATGTGAGTGTGAAGATATGACAAGGGGAAGTAAAGATCGCGCGCGGTGCACGGCCTGTTTGTTAGGGCACTGCTCCGGCATTTGCCTGGTCGGCGAATCGGAGAAATCACGGGAAACTACCGATCAGAGCATTCGGCTGCTAGAATTCTCATCAGACAGCGGCTGAACTTGACCCAGCTGTCTTGCTATTGTCGAAAATCTCGACACTGTCGGGACTTAAACCCTGGATCCTCTCGGTCAGAGGGACTGCAGTGCTATCAGTTGATACCCTGAGCCACCTTTGTGGGTAGGCGCAAGTTGGAATGGGCCGTCAGCTTCTCGCCATAGTATGTCACACTTTTAAATAAAAGAAAATGAGTTTCGGATCACTATTCTGTTAGGTCTTCCCCCTTGGGCAATGATCACTTCAAAGCATAGTTTAAAACTCGTAACATTTACGTATTGTTGTGGTTGGACCTCTTCAGATACTCCACGTTTGGTTGAACCTCCTCGCCTTGAACATTTAGCTGTAGAAGAGGTATTTCGTCGTTTCACCACCATTTTACTGGTTAATTTGACATTGGTTTCTGCAAAACCAATTTGAGGACGTGATGCTACAATAATTGATAAGAGCCCACTTTTGTAGAAGAGGAGTTCTAAAAACAAATGCAATCTGTCATGCTGGCATGAGTAGTCAAATTTAATTTGTAGTAATGTAAGGAATATGAATGTTGTATTTTCTAATAATTACTTCCTTTAGCAGGTCTTTCACTTCAATACAATGGAAAATGAAAATAACTTTGACTCTGGAAAACCAAAAATTATGGTTTTCCGCCCAACTTACGAGGAATTCAAAGACTTTACTAAGTATGTAGAATACATGGAATCTGTAGGAGCCCATAAAGCTGGTTTAGCAAAAGTAAGTATTACAGTTTGTATTTATCAGAATTTAAGTAATTGTATAAATCTCAGTGGCAGAGGAATGTCTATGAAGGAATTGATTGGCTGATGTAGTTAAGGAGTTGACAATCTAAAAAAATTATTCTTGAAGTTAAAACTCTGACTCGATAGATAGAATCTCTGAAAACAAATGAATTAGAAGAAAGAAGCAAAACCTATGAAAGATGATGATCAATGTAGAATATATTTTTTAGTGTCAAGCTATCATATTAAGGCATTCTGTATGTTTGTAGTAAGTGTGTTATCATTGTTTAAATATACTTTTAAAAAACATACCAAAATTAGATTTTTTCTCCAAAGATTCAGTAAATCTTGAATCTCTCTTTCTAGCAGTGGCATAGTTAAGTGGGGAATACAGTATGACTGTCTCCATAGATTACACTCCTAGGCATGACATAAATTGTATGTTCTAATTTAAAATTGAATTATTTGCATTAGTGATTTTATTTCACTAGCTAGTTATCATGTATTGCAATTTGTGTACATCTCCTGAGAAATAATCTTGTGAAAATAATGAAGGATGTATTCCATTTGAGAAAATATGCAATATTTCAATTAAACAGTCAGTGTTTCCTTTAATTAGTGTTTCTATAAAATTAATGTACAACATTCATGAGTAACAGATTTTTTGCGCTCAGAGTTAATCCACATTTCTTGCGTCAGGAGCTAATTTTTTCTTACTGGTGTAAAACCTCTCGTGTTACTATTTTGAATTGCACATTATAATGATCTTATAAATCAATTCAAATATTTTTTTAAAAATTTTAATTAAAGTTCTTTTTATGTTAAGAATGCAACTTCTGCAATCAAGATTTTAAATATTATGTCTGTTAAATTGGCGATTTATTGATTTTTCTGTAACTACCAAATTATTATAAGTAAATATTTTAAGTACATAAAAAACATGGTCATTTTAATAAAAATGTTATGGACTATTCTATAATTGTTTATATTGTTTTGAATTGTATAAATGTTTATATTGGTTTGACGTGAGAGGGAAAGTGTCTCAGCAATGCCAGTTCTAGCTATGCCACTGCTTTCTAGATAGGATATTAAAAGTTAACAAAAATATTCTGTCAGTTAACGTGAAAGTTTTTGTTTTAGTTAGTTTCAATTTATTCTAAAACTATTTGCATGGAGTTTACTTGATCAAATGCAGCCAAAAATTATAGCTTAGCTTTGTGCACCCTTTTCATGCAACCAAGCAGTTGCTCTCAAAGGGACTGGTGTAGTAACGCAAGCAAAATTTTAAGCACTCTTTACAGTAAATGGAGGGGTATCTAAAATTTGCAAATGGACACTGGTTGGTAAAATGCAGATGTTGAATGTACTTGTACAGGCAACTGACCACCTGGTTTTGGAGTTTGTAGATTGCGTGCCCTTGCATCCATGAGCTTTACAAACTTATTGTTTAGCATTGTTATACTTAATTCACTTGACCTGAAATGTACAAATCTAAGTCTTTGAATATAGAGACAGACTTGTAAATAAAATACAAGTAATAATTTAAGTATTGCTCAACATCACGTTTGGTTAATGATGGTAACTAATTCCAAGGAATTAGGATGCATATTTATTATTTCTGTTAAACAAGGGAGGGAAAAAAACATTATTATTAGAATTATTGTTATTATTATTATTATTATTATTATTATTATTATTATTATTATTATTATTATTATTATTAGTGTATCGTCCATTTCTGATCATGATATGTGATTACCGTGTGTAACTATGGGGATCAACTTTTCAGCTGTATCCCCCCTCAGTAGGGACAAGGTTGTTACGTCTTGAATTATGAATTACGAGGTGATATGATGATCATGAGGGCTGAAGGGACAATCACATATGCGACCATGCCTATGTAGGACTCAAACCTGCAGCCTCCTAGGCACAGAACAAGGCTACAATTGTCTGTACCACAGTGCCGGCTCATCATCATCATCATCATCATTATTATTATTATTATTATTATTATTGTCATCCTCATTATCATTATTGTCGTTATTGAACTAGTGTTGTACTACAGCGCTTTCCTTCTCCCATTGTTTCTAACTTTTGTAATTTTCGAAAATTAAGTGAGTTCAACAAAAATGACAATTTTGCAACGGATTTGAAATATTTTTTAAAAAAATTGCTTTAACTTAGAGTAGGAATGGCGCAAAAACAACCTTTTAAAAAAATAAAAAAATGTACATGACCTTTTTTAAGGTATGATTTTTCTTAAAACAGATTTTATTCAAGATAAAAATTTCTTTTCTTCAAATTTGTAGCTTTGAAGTGTTATCTTTTTGCTATATTTAAAAATAGAGTTCAGCGAATATGGTGCTGGTGCCACTTTTTTTACCATTCTTTTGTACTTACGATTTATTAGGAACTGGATTTATCCACTATTTTGTTACCAGGGCCCTGAGAGAGTTTTACTACTGAAATTCACTGTTTTTTCACTCAGCATTACATAACCTTCTTTCAACTGGGTAGTGGTATCAAAAAGTAAAAATTTGGGGCTGTTTTTCAAGAAAAAAAAAAAATGTAAAAGCTACCTTTAATTAAGGCAAAATTACGTGAAAACTAGTCAAATTTTGAAAAATTTTATTTGAACTTATTTCAAGATCCATTCTTTCGTCATCTTTTATACTACCAAGGATAAAGTTTAATTAACAAATTTGCCCTTTTCAAGAAAATTTTGAAATTTTCAAATAAAATTTCCATTAAAATTTTCATTTCATACTTTCAGCATCTCATGATCCTTTAAATCAATTGGTGAATGTCAGTTATGGAGAAAATTGAACAGTGGAAGACTAGCATTGACCACACAGACCAGATAGATGTATTTCTGTCAATCGATATTTTGCAGTTTTTAAAATTTTTTATTTGACTGTTTTGTTTATTATTTCTTCGTATTATTCTTATTATTTCTTATAGGTAATCCCTCCTCCACAATGGGTTCCAAGAAAAGCAGGATATGAAATTGATGGTATTGATATAACAATACCTGCCCCAATATGCCAGGTTGTTGATGGAAAGCCTGGCTTGTACACTCAAATCAATGTACAAAAGAAATCAATGACTGTAAAGGAATACCGAGACTTGGCAACTAGTGAACAGTAAGTATTTAACACCTAAGTTCCTTCTAAGAATCACTAACCCATCTACTGGAATTTCCATTTACAATTTGGCTAATTTCATTCAAAATATTATTTTTCATTGACATCTTAAATCTTTTCACAAATAGGATAGTTGGAGATTTGTAATCATTGACTCTCAAATTCAGATTATCAATGTTAATCATTGCATATTGTCTCAGATGTTTCTTCTTCCTTCACTTTATCCCTCTGATCTTATGCCATGGGCACCTCTTTGGTATAATCAAGATCAAGTACCCACTAATTACCAAACATTATTGATATTGAGTTAATGATGTTGATAATGAATTGTTTTCTACATCTACTAATGAATTATAAATTCACTTCATTTTGTTTCATAGTCATTTTTCTTCATTGGGATGTTTAGAAAACTCAGTGAATTATAACCATGTATTTACATCGTTACTCTATTGCACAATAAAATATTCACCACAAAATGCACTGCAGAAATGTCATGGCCGCTTGTTTAAAAAAAGCTCATTTTGTAACCAATCATTTTGTATCAATGATTTGGTTTGAAACTCAGCCTCTCGGAAGCAGATGCATCTCTGTATGGAAAATTGAGATAATTACAAAAATATTGGTTTATGGAATTGTTATTATTAAGTCACTTATGTGCACTTCTTTGTGCTATGATTATGAATGCTGTCTGAATACAGAAGAATGTAAAAGGGTTGATGAAGCAAAGAATTCTTTGAAACGAGCAATGCAAGAAATTGGTTGGGAATCCTTGGTGTACATTGTAGATTAAACTGTGTAAAGAAACATACAAATATTGAATACAAAACAATAACTTTGTCACACATATATTGATGTGATCAATAGTGGATTGTCTTAACCCTATATCATATACGATGGTCATATGATTGTCACTGGCTGCAAAAATTCCGCTGCTTACTTGTGAAGGTTCGGAAGGTCGAGCAAATCTATATATAGTGTCAGATGATAACATTATTCAATTATTTCTGTTTGTAGATGCGAAAGGGAGCTAAAACCTCACTGTTATTGGCAGCACCTTCATGTATCTGCCTCACAGCATACTGATGAGTTAGTGTAGTGTACTGAAAACATTGTTTAAATTATTAGTACAAAATGAAATGTAATAAAGCTATTGGATGTTCTTGAAAATGTTTAGGGGAGGATGTGTTCCCCTTGTCCACTGGCAGTGTCGCCCATTGTGTTGACTAACATTGAGAAAAGATGTAATTTGTTAGAAAAGAACAATTAACTGCCAAAGGTACATTTTCTTCATGTTACTAATTTTTCGCTCAATAAAACTAGCTTTATTTTCCAAGGTAATTTCTATAAATAAGCCAGTAGTTGTTGTGTGGGCAGTTTTTATCTCTTATCTTAATGAATATTGCGATGGATGATTTAGAAATAATTTGCTTACACAGTTTTAGACCAAATGTTATTTTCGATATGTTGGAATCTTTACTATTATTCTTTAAGATAAAAATCATGGAATTCTTCATTGTTTTAATAACTTCCATAGCTGTCTAAAATATTCATGATTTAGAACAAAATAATAAATTATGTTTTTAGGATGTTAAGGGTTGTAGAGATTACTAAAATATGTTTCTTACAAATAGATTTGTCAGAAACGTCTTTACAGGAAGAAACCATGAAATGGGGGTGAATAGAAATTTATTTATATACGTACAGTTCCTTATGAAAAAACATGAAAAGGTTTTCAAATTGATGAATATGTCTATTGTAATGAAGTGGCTGTCTTGACATCTGAGACATTATCTACATGAAAACAAGGAAACATTTCAGAAATTTTCCAAACGTTCTTCCCTTCATTGGCTAAGTTATTAAAAAATCTATTATGTTATAATAAATTATTACATACTGTAGAAGTGGACGTATGTATGTGTGTTAGCATGTATCTCCAAAACATGTTCAAAAGATTACCTTCAAATTTGCCCCCAAGAAAATGCCCCCTGGGCAAATACATTTAATATATACAGATTTTTTTAAAAAAGTCTCTCCATCTGGGGAGTACATGACCTTGAGCTGGTGGCGGAGCTTGAGTACCCCCGTGACCCTGAGAGCTATGCCGGCGGTAGCGTAGCTACCGGTAGGGCCTCCCTTGCCGGACAGGTCAAAGGGGAGGGGTCAGACTAAGAAGTACTCCAGAAGAGGACCTCAATGGCAGCTTCGTCGAAGAAGAGAAGACGAAACTGCCGTCCAGGTAAAACCGACTTCCCTAAGGGAGAAAACCCTGATATCAAATCCTGCTGGCTCAGAAGTAGTGAAGGGGCAGCCCCACTACTGGGATTACCCTGCACAGCACCTGTAACGCGGTCAGGGGACATTTCAATTACTAAAAATCTTCTCATAGATAAGCCAGATAAATACCATGTACGACAACGTAAGCAAGAAAAGGACAAGCAATTCAGAATAAAAATAGATTAAATGTTGCAACATGGAATGTAAGAGGTTTAGGTAGCAAAGATAAAGAACTCAATGATGAATTAAAGGAATGTAGCATTAATATAGCCGTTTTCACAAGAAACGAAGAAAAAGCTTAAGGGAACTAAAGATCTTGACGATTACACAATGATCTATTCTGGAGTAGACCAAAGTCAAAGAGCAAGTAGTGGAGTAACAGTATTGATTGATAGGAAATGGACCTCTAAAATAGTAAGTTATTGTTATGTAAATGAAAAACAATAATAGTAAGATTGAAAATAGAGAGAGGACATCTAAATGTGGTCGGAGTATATGCCCCAGAGGAAGGGAAAAAAGAAGAAAGCATAACTTTTTATGAAAATCTACAGAAAGTTATTTCCCAAATTAATAACAAAGATTTGATAATTAGTGGAGATTTAAGTGCAAGAGTAAAAAAAAACAACAAAAAACAATACCTAAGATAGTAGGGACCTTTGGAGAGCAGACAATGAAGTCTGGAGAGCAGACTCAGATCACTATTTGGTTGTCTCAACTGTGAAATTACTAAGTAGATGGAAAATCTGAACCCCAAAAATAAAAACCATGTAGAAGAAGGTTTTAAAGTATATCTGCTACAAGAAGAGAGTATTAAAAAGCTATATCAACAGAGACTTGATAATTACTTGGAAAATATACCAACAAGTGATAAAGTAGAGAAAGAGTGGGAAAATATTAAAACCTGCATAGAAAAAGCTGGTTTTGAAATCTTAGGAAAGAAAAAGAAGTTCAGAAAAAAGGAAGGACTCAGAGTATGGAATGAACAACCTAAAGAACTGCAAGAACTAGCCTATAAAGTAATGAGACAACTCAATCAAAAAGAAAAAGATATCGTTCAATTGAAAATTATAGATGAAGAGAAATGGCAACAACACTATAAGAATCTATGGTTCAGCCCACTGGAAGAAAAGGAAGAACATGAAGAACAAAAGAATTATAATATTGATCCACTAACAATAGAAGAATTATTACAAGTATTAAAAGAAATGAAATGTAGAAATGATACTGGTATAGATAACATAAATGTACAATTACTACAATATGGAAGCACTTTTCTCCATTTAAGACTGTTACATCTATACAATCAATGTTGGCTATGAAGTATGATACCAGAAGAATGGCAAACAGCCCTAATAATATCTGTGTTTAAAAAGGGGGATAGAAGTAGCTGTGAAAATTATAGAGGTATTAGCCTCTTGAACACAACATATAAAATCTACAGTAAAATGATCCAAAAGAGGATCAAGACAATAGCTGAAGTTATATTGTTAGAAGAACAAAATGGCTTCAGAAAGGGAAGACTGCACAGATAATGTTTTATATTGAACCAAATAATAGAGAAAAGAAGAGAGTTTAATTTAGACATGCACATTGCATCCATTGATTTTGAAAAGCCTTCGATCGTGTAAACAGGAGAAGATTATGGACCATAATGGATCGAAGAGGCTTTCCAAAACATTTAATAAACATAGCTAAAAGTTTATGTAAAAATACAAAAATCTGAATACACACAAATTCACAACAATCACAACCATTGAAAACTAACAGAGGATTAAAACAAGGTTGCAGCCTTTCCCCAATATTATTTAACTTCTATACGGACGATATTCTTAGAGAATGGAAATTAATAGTAAAACAAGGGATCAGATTGAACGGAAATAATTATATCAGTACTCTGCTAATTGCGAATGATCAAGTTATTATGTATGAAAAGGAAAATGGATATCCAGATGGCACTGCATCAATGAAATCTAATGTGTAAAAATTATGAGATGAAAATATCAAAGAGTCTATCAGTTACACCTTGCTCTTCAATTATTACAAAATTTACCGGTTTATAAAAAAAAAAAAAAAAAAAACAGTGCTCAATTATGCTGTTGAATCTAACTCTTTAATTGAAGTCTGGTGTATTGTTGGCAAAATTCTTTCATCCACAGAAATAAAGTCTATAAGTGGTGGAGGGCTTTCTCCAGTTCTCTTCCTTTCGTTATTAATGATGATGTGTTTTCCTGTGGTGTCATGCCATGTTTTGCGCCAGTGCTTCCGTGCACCCGGGATGGCATTCAGTTGCAGGGCTAACTGTTCCCACATTTTTTGGAAATCTTGAACAGTGAAAGTGGGTGAAAATTTTCCAGTTGACAGAGCTTTATTTATATTCATAAGATCATCAAGAGCTTTTGTTCCTAACCAACATGTGCAGTTTCTAAAAATTGTGCCATTTTCTTGTTCTTTTACAAATAAATATATAGTTGTCAAATAGAAAACACTTAAAACTTCAATACTAAATAACTTATTACTCTTACTAATTTCTATTTTAATCTCCTTAAAATAGTATTTGTAAAAAGAAAAATTGATTTGGAATCAAAACTGAAAGAACACTATAAAAAAACACTGCCACATACACACACGATGCTGAAAGCAATAAAATTCGGATAATTTGAATTTCGGGGAAGCCAGAAAATGCTTCCAAAGAGAAATCGCATGCGTTAAAATATACTTCTTCTTTGTGAGACAGAGAAGAGATAAAATTCAATTTCCAATGTTGTCAAATACATGCATGTAAAAAGCTTTAGAAAACTGTCTAGAATGCAGCTATTTGAAATCATTCACATACGAAATATTTTGCATAGTTTCGAGAATACAGCTACTGTTGTGGCATTGCCATTCTTATAATACAGTCTGTTATAAAGTCGGCCACTATCATAAATACCATTCACAGAATATGGTACCTGTACCATTGTACTTCACTCGAGTAACATATTTTTTAAAAATTGCTTGTGAATCTCAAAAAAGTTATGCATATTTTCAAAAAATTGTACATGACCTTTAAAATTGTTTGTCATTGAAGAACAGAGTTTATAAATAGGAAATAAAAATCTCTATCTTCAGTATTCTAGTTGTCGGAAGATGCCAAACACGTTTTGAACTTGTGTATTTTTTGATCTTTCAAAGGCCTGAGGATTATTTGATTTGGAAAAAATAATCTAAATGATTTCTTCCATGAATTTTCCAAAATTATAGTACAATTCATTCCTGTTCATTGCTGTTATTTATCACAATGCTTGTTGCTATCTTCTACTGTTGCAAAGCAATAGCTTATGTAATTGCATGCCATGAAAACTAATGAATTATTCTGCCAGATGTCACTTCAATAGAACCAAATTATGTAGTAAATTTTTTATTGCTAATAGGGTGCCCTATCCAAATAATGCTTTCTGACACCATATCCTTAAATTGTAATGAATATTGAGGGACTACAACTGTAAAGTACTTCCTTTTACTGTGTATATGTGATTGGTGAATATATTACTGAAACATTCCATGAATTTCTTCCTAGGTACAACACTCCAAATCATTTCGATTATGATGATCTAGAACGAATGTATTGGAAGAAGATAATGTATGGATCTCCAATTTATGGTGCTGATGTGTCTGGTAGTCTTACTGATGATGATGTACATGTAAGCAATTTATTTAAAATTTGTTTTGAAGTAATTGTGTTAATTTGATTCGTGTTGTTTAATACTTCAGATCCATGGATAGTAGTTGTGTAATCGTTAGAAAAACAGGTACTTCATACTATGTGGTGACAGACCTGGAAAACCAGGAATTATAATGAATATTTTTTATTTCCATGGAAACCTAATTTTCAAAATATGGTAATTAAAGTAATGAATGTTTCAAAGAAAATGGTGTTCTGATAAAAACACTTCAAAAATTCATTTAATATTGGACTGTGTGAAAAGGAACTGAAAATGCACTATTGTCAAGCTTGCATAAACAAAATAAAGGGTCAAAGGTTGGTGAGTGGTTTGAACCCAGATTATTAAAGATGATATCATAAATGCTCAGACTGCGGGCAGGCTACTACAACAGACAAGACTATAGTTTAGGGTGAACCATTGGGCGTAGTGAAATTGTTTTGTTCCAATAGGTCTTCTCATGCTAAGCCTTCTTTATGGTCTTCATAAGTATGGTAAGTTACATGAGATTATGCAGTTCTTTGAACTTTCCTTTGTTCATTAGAAAATAAATGAATTTAATTACTGACAGGAATTCAATTTGACACATTAATGGCATTCACCAAATTCGTCTCTTTTCCCATTCATTTCATACTCCCATGCTTTTTTTTCATTTCTTTTTTTCTGACTGAGCATACCTCTTTTGTTTTACTTCTCAGGAATTAGTGACAATCTTTTAAAATATCCAAAAATAATTATAGAGAATGCAATGATGTGTACCTGACCACAACTTGTTTCTTCAAACTTGCACGCATTTTTTTTTTCAAGGCTGTGACAGACTTAGGAAAAGCTGTTATTTTTACTTCAATCATATTATTTTGTTTAAATCATATTTAATCTATAGTATATTTCTTTTATAAAGTACATTTTGGATGTATAATTTATTAATTTGATGAAATATACATAAAAATGATGTGGTTTTAAACAAAAATATTCAAGATTTTTTCTGCATTGATTGATTTTATGTTATAATAATTTAAGACAATTAATAGTAATTTTGAATTTGTATCAACGGGAATGCCCAGATTCTTCAGTATCTTGAATGCACAGTTTCTTCTCAACTTGTCTTCATATATGTAAGAAAGCAAATTTGAAATTATTATTTTCTGGTGTATAAGAAATATTATATTTCCTTGTATTTCTGTATCAGGTATGGAACATCAACAGATTGGGAACCATCCTGGATTATGTTAATGAAGATTATGGTATTAGTATTGATGGAGTTAATACAGCGTATTTGTACTTTGGTATGTGGAAAACTACATTTGCTTGGCATACTGAAGATATGGACCTCTACAGTATTAATTACCTGCATTTTGGTGCTCCTAAGACATGGCAAGTTTTTCAAATGTTTCAGTGTTATACATATATTTTTAAATTTGGTCTTTTGCTTCTATATATTGAACTAATGTTGTTTGTATTTTTAGGTATGCAATTCCAACGGAACATGGGCGTAGATTTGAGCGCCTTGCTCAGGGTTTTTTTCCAGAACAATCCAAAGCCTGCACTGCCTTTTTACGTCATAAGATGTCATTGATATCCCCTCAAGTTATGCGGAAATACAGCATTCCCTTCAACAAGGTTAAATTCATTTAACTAATATATATAATTAGTCAAAACTTTGAGTTAATGTAAAAATACTTGAACATCGTAATGCTTTATAAAATGGTAAATAATATTAGTCTAGTATTTTTTTTATGTATTTCCCTTCAGTGGTTTTCTGAAGGCATGGGCTGCTGTTAATTGTAAATAAATGTCACACTTAGGTGCAGTAAGAAAAAACAATGTAGGTTCTACCAATTTCGTTTTTGGACATTCAATTTATTTATCTGCAATTTACAACTATTCAGTGCCTTAATTGACATCATTTGACCCCTTCACAGTGAATTGAACTGTAGGTATCTGCAAGACTTTTTTGTGAAGTTATTGCACTCTCCTGGATAAATTCCAATTCCTCTAAAGAACATTTGTGAACTACTGGGGTGATTTCTTACAGAAAAGGACATGAAATTATTTCTGTGAATTATCATACATTATTATGTGCATTTGGTCTTTCTCTGATGGGTTAACACAATGGTGGCTCGTGCACTTTTCTTGACAGGAGGGAAGACACAGGATTCAATTGCATAAACTATGTCAAATGAAGCTTGCTATAAATTAGATTGTTTGTGTCAAGTTGGAAAGGGATAATAGTGAAAGTTCTATCCATTCAGCTGGCCCATTCATACATCTTCCACCTACCCACATAGGTAGATCGAGCACTGGCTGCTCTGCTCGTGTCTGGATGCATCCTGGCCCTTTCTCTTGCTAGTGTTTAACATCACCCATTTCCTGAGATGGGTTGAGGTAGTTGAAAGAAATGGCACATATAGATAGCAGCTCAATAGAGGCTTATATGTACACCCCAAGAAGCAGTTACACCTTGTTCTGTACAGTTCTGTTGTAAAACGTTTCTCCTTTTAGCCACTGTGTATATGGAAGATTAACTCAGGAGAGAATGGACGGCTAACAGTTTCTCCTCAGAGATTAAATTGCTTTTACTGTGGCTTAAAACCTTGTGTTGTTTAAAATTTGATCAAAGTAAATTTCCTCATAGCCATTTACTCTTTCAATTCTCTAGATGAGTTGACACAGGGAAAAGTTCCTTGCCTAAGGACCTCTGAACGTGTTAGCATGTGCAGTCTGCACAGCCTGATCAATTGATTTCCTTCCCCATTCTCTTTCATTTAATACCTTTTGTGAGGGCCAATTGATTTCGAAGATAGTTTTAGGGGTATCTAAGTGTGGTTTTGAACCTTAACTTAATTTTTGATGCAGTTATGGCTCTGGTCTCGTATTTCTATGCGTTAGTTCAGAGTTTTGCTTCAACACAAATGCAAGTGGTTCAGTGTAGGAAAAACCGAAATATGTAGGAAAAACCAAAGTTGGTTCTTAAATTCTGTAGGTTATTAGAAAGCTCTTGGAAAGAGTTTGGAAATCTTTCTCTCTCCAGGGACTACCTCACAAAGCGGAATGGTTGTGACTCTTTCCTATCTCTGCACACGTAAGCTTCTGTGGCTCCATTCCATAAATTCCTGGTTATTTGGGAGACGCTGCGTTGTTGGCTGAAAGGCCGACGTTTCGCCTAACATGTAGTAGGTTCCCTCAGTGCAGTGACCCTGTGGTGCTACGCGCCCGGTTTTATATATTATTCTGGCTGGGCGCTCGGGAGGGGCTGGTGTGCCATGATTGGCAGAGAGGTCTCTCTGATTGGCTGGCGAGCTGCGCCAACTTGTGCCCCGCGGCAGATGTCCCCATAGTCGGACTGCGTTGAGTTGGGACATCTGGCGTGGGGTTGTAGGTTGGTTGTAGTAGGTTGGCCCAGACCGCCAGCCAATCAGAGAGACCTCTCCACCAATCATGGCGCACCAGCCCCTCCCAAGCGCCCAGACAGAATAGTATAGAACACTGTGCGCGTAGCACCGCAATATCACTGCCCTGAAAAAGCCTGCGACATGCCAGGCAAAACGTTAGCCTCTCAGCCAAGGATGCGGCATCTCCTGGATAGCCAATAACTTATCTTTCCTATCTCTGTTTACTTTTCAATTCTGTGGAAAGCTGGAGTCCTCAAAGTCCAGTAGTTAGGTCTTCTATTGCTCACATTTATTTTGACTATTGTTACTTGCCTTATAGTGGTTGAATTATTTGATGTTTCCTCTATATGTCTGTATTTAGTTATCGTTGGATTTGCTCCTTAATCTCAAAGTTATCCTAGCTGACAAATGTCTGTCAGTCCAGAGTGGTGCCAACAGCCATACATACAATACACATCTTGTGACTCACTCTAGGCATGCCCCTAGGGTTAAGTAAAAAAAATTACATTTTCTTCAAACATCGAAGCAAATATGTTTTGAAATTACATTCAGAAAAATATATGTGAGGAAGTCAGGAGTACATCCTGGCCAGGAGTGTACAATGCTTTTGTGGCCTTAGCTAATCGACAACGAATGTATAAGAATTCCAAAACTCGTTTATATGTTTCAGATATGTCCAGAGTATCTGTGTTCGATAAATAAATTAAATTAAACAAAGAGAAGTGTCCAAAAAATATAATATACTGGTCTATGAGTAGATCACTGGATGTTAAAGGGTTAATTTGAAAATTATTTTGGCGTTTTACCACTACGATACGTATTCAGCGATACATAATGAAGTATTGCCCTTTTATGAAATTAAATGATGTATTTTAGAAGAATGCATTTACACATCAGGAATGTAATGAGAGATTGATTTAAAAGTGTATAATCACACAATCCCTACTATAAACTTAGCAAAGCAAAGCAAAGTAATGCAAATTTGTGTTCCTTACATTATAATTTATTCTTACTTTTAAACATTCTCTGCAGATAACACAAGAAGCTGGTGAAATAATGATAACATTTCCATATGGATATCATGCTGGCTTTAATCATGGTTTTAATTGTGCTGAATCAACCAATTTTGCTACACCTCGATGGGTAGAATACGGTAAAAGAGCTGTACAGTGCATTTGCAGGTGAGTAATAGATTTTGACATTTTGATCACAAATTATTTTAAAGCATATGCTGTAATAAATAGTGATAATATTAAATAAAAAGTCTATATCTTGTCGCAATATGTAGATTTGTAAATGTATTTTAAATTCTAGTTAATACAAATATTATCTTTATTAATTAGTATTCATTAAAGTAGTTGTGCTGTTTCATTTTAGATAAAATAACAATAATGATGAAAATTATTTTCATCATTATTATTATTATTATTTTTATTATTATTTTATTATTATTACTATTATTATTGTTATTATTATTACTATTACTATTATTATTGGCGTATAGGCCATTACTGACCATGCTACACAATTAACGTGTGTAATTCTTCCAGGATCAGCTTTTCAGCTGTATCCTTGGATTTCAGCAAGGTTTTTACACCCTGTAGTGTGACTTATGAGATGATAGGATGATGATGATAGGTGAAGGGACAATCACAAATACGACCAGGTCTACGCAGGACTCGAACCTGCAGCCTCCTCGGCACAGACGACGGCTGCCACAACTGTCTGCACCACGGGGCTGACTATTATTATTATTATTATTATTATTATTATTATTATTATTATTATTATTATTATTATTATTATTATTATGATTATGATTATTGGGAATTCTAGCGCAGACTTGTTATGAGCGGAGTGCGATGTACATTTGTTCGCTGACATCATCCCCATTCCTAGTTGTAATCATTCTGCCAACCTAAGCATAAAAAATATGAAACAGGAATGGATAGGAAGTTAATAAATATTCAACACAATGGTATTAAATCTTAAAGTGAATTATTTATCAAGTCCAGGGTATTCGTGTCCAGTTCCCTTATATCTTCTATCATTTCCCAAAAATGATCTCTTATGTAGTCTTTTACAGTCTTGTTTCCAAAGATTTTCGGCAAGAAGCATTGCTATATCCTTTTGGCTTTACTTTCATAAAGACAAGTTTTTTCGCTTTGCTCGCCCAAATCCAAGTCACGGTGAGGTTCGAGCCTTTGCCTTCACGTTCACTATAAACAACTTTGAGTCAATCCACCACATACATACTAATTCACTTTGATAAGAAAGCTCTTTCATGGTTAAGTTCACTACCCTGCATTATGTCACTGCAGTGACAGACAAATGAACATCACACAGCACATAACCCAGTTTCCGTTAGAATATCCTTCTTATTAACAATATTATTATTATTATTATTATTATTATTATTATTATTATTATTATTATTATTATTGTTTTTGGTTAGAGGTCACTAATAGAAGGGAAATCAAAAGACAGGGAATTTGGTTTGACATCGAAACTTTTTATTTTATGTTTCATTATTTTGGTGAACGTATTCATATTTTGCACTGAAGTGGATATGAATACCAAACCTACTATACATCTAATTTCGCAGGTTAAAGTCATTATTTATTTATTTTTCTTATGTTATCCTTTGATTGAATGCCCTCGAAGTGACATGAAAGATGAGAACAAAGAACTGTGGCCAAATAAAAATTTGCATTGCTCAGACTTGAGGTTCTTTTGTATTAATCATGCAGGATGAAGCATTGTTACCAATATGAACTTGCATAGCAATGTGTCAACTGGGCTCTAAAAGTATTAACATAGAAGATTTCGTTTTGTTTTCTCTGTGTAGTCTCGCCTGGTGTGCGTTTGTATTGGTGGGGGGTGATAGGAATAAAAGTCATTTTTTCTTATACACAATGCAATGCTTCCATTTCTTTTGATTCATTAGTAGCAATGAATTCACATCACCCTCCATTAATTTTTAAGATTGATTTACGTGAAGTAACAGTAAGTAAGCTTTATTTCAACTACCTCGGTATGATTTTTGTGAAACCTACTATGCATTATATGATATATTTGATAACTTTTATGAAGTACTGCTTTAAAAATGAGATGAAAAAGTCTATCAGCTGATGTGATAGAAATGTATTGTAAACATTCAAAGAATATTTGCATGTGATCTCTCATATCATAATGATCTATTTTTACTTTTCTTTCTCAGAGGAGATATGGTGAAGATAAGCATGGATACATTTGTAAAACGCTTCCAACCTGATCGTTACAATTTGTGGTTACAAGGAAAGGATATAGGAGCACATCCAGAGGACTCATCACGGCAGTATGCAGCACCAGCTCCTAGTCCTAAGGATATTTTAGCAAATAAAAAGTATGTTCCCACCATTTTTGTTTTCCTTCTGAATATGAAGATATAGTGAGAAAAATAAGTGGAACTAGTGTGTAGTGTAGTTGCAAAGGAGGATTATTCAGTGTTTGGATAAATCCATAATGCACATACACATTCATTCAGGGAGGACACTGGGCAGTCAGTATTCTTATTAAATTCTCATTTGTATATGGAAACTTATTCGTTTCATAGTTCTGAGCTTTTATTTCAGTTTTGCAAAGCAAACGGGAAATCGGTTTGTTGTATGTGCAAATAGATGCAAAAAAAATTAAAAAAATAATAATAATAAAACAAGAAATTAAAATTTCTATGTTATGAATTGAGATTTATTAGACTTGCACCTTATATTAACTTCTTCCTGTCCGTCCTTCCTTCCATTCTTCTATCTTCTGTTCCTTCTGACACTTCTTTCACTTATCTTGATTTTTCTCATATTTTATATCTGTCTCTTCTGAGACCACTGTTATAAATTTTTATTGGTTTCACAATTATAATTTTTTTTATTTCAGTAATACAGAGCTGCCTCAATCTCTTTTGGAAAATCCAAAGAAAAATCACAAGAGACATCCAATACATAAAAATAAAGGCACAAATTTATCCTTAGTTAATCCTCAAGATATTTTAGCTGATGATATTCCTCCAGATGTAATGCGAGTAGTTGAGGAATTAGAAGCTGAAGACACTGAAGATGTACCTGATGAAAACACTCTAGAAGCGCTGGAAGATATCTGGATGAAAGCTGGGGAAATGGGTATGTTGATTTTTTTGTTCGTATGATCTTCCTCTTCCTCATTGTCTTACTGTGCCATACTTTCTTCCTCTTTTTCATCCTCCGAATCTTCTTTCTACCTTTTCTTTTCATCTTCCTCTTCAACTGCCTCTTCTTGTCATCTTCCTCTCTACTAACTCTTCTTTTATTTCTTTTCCTTCTTGTGCTCTGAATGTTTTTTACCATGTAAATGAGTTTACTCTGTTTTACTTTTACTCTGTTTTTTACCATGTAAATGAGATCTTTTTAATCTGATCCATCTGCATATTATTCTATACTATTTCCCATTAGATGAATTCTAGCTCTGTCTTACTTTCAGTGGATTCTTGCTATGCAAATTCTTCACGATTGATCATTACCCTTTAAGTTCTTTTTTCTTGGTTTTAGTTTCATAACTTCTTTTCTCTTAGTGTTTTCTTCTCCCCCCCCCCATCTCTCTCTCTCTTTCTTTTTTTTCCCTAATAAAATAAGCTACAATTTTTGTCCAGAATGCCATAAGATTTTTTGTGTTTTTTATTACCTCGCTCTGGTACCTACAATTCATATCTGTAAAATTCAACTCATAGTGTCAATATTTTATAAAAATTTATTCTAGTTTTCTATCAAGATAATTTTCAACTTTGTATGAAATTGTTTTGCCAATATTTTAAAAGTTATATATTTTTCTTATCTATATATTATACAGTTTCATTGTATTTATTTGTTGTTGTTTGGGACTTAATTGTAAATATTTTCAATACTGTTTTCCAGATGATGATGAAATTGAAACATATGGTGCAGATCTAAAAAAGAAGCGCAAACGGAAAGAATCTAAGAAGAAAAAGAAGAAAACTGATGAAAATGCCTCTTCTGCAGATCCTGTTGCTTCTAGTAATGTAGTTGAAGGACCTCAAGAAAATAAGGATTCAAACAAGAAAGGCATGAAATCAAAAGTGAGTGTTAAGAAAACAAAAAAATCTTCAAGCATTGCAGAAGCAAAAGAAACACCACATATTGTGAAAACCTGCAAGAAATGTGGTTTAGAAGTTTCAAAATGGAAACCAAAAAGTGCAAATCAAAATTCACCAAATGATACAGCACAACAGTGTAAATGCAAGAAGCCACGTAATTGTAATAAAAATTTGCCTCATTGTAAATTCACTGGGTCTACTGACCACAGTGATCAATGTAAAGATGCTCCTATGAGTAAAGTAAATCGTGTGAAAAGTGGTATTTCAAGTTCTATGTCACTCTCCACTACAGTTTCAAGTGAGCAGTTGCAGTCGGATCATAAAATAATTACTACCTTGCCTAAAGCTAGAGTCAAGTTAGCTCCATGTGTGCGAGTAGGGCGAGAAGAATATGCCGATGTTTCATACGGCAAAAAGGTAACAAAAGGAAGTGCATCATCATCTATTGCTGAAGTTGTAGAAAATAAAGCTTCAGTTGGAGAAGATTCAAAAGTTAACATTGCAACTCTGCCAGTATCAGCAATAGATGAAAGCAAGAGTATAAGGAGTACAAATGTTGAAAAAACACATGTTGTGAAGACTGAACTTCCTGTAAATGATAGGTTTTCTAGTAAGCAACCCTCTCCTATACCTACTGAGAACGCTTTAAATATAAGGACTATGCAAAAGAGTAGACCCATTCCAGCACCTCAAGTAACTTTACAACATTTAGGCCCGGGCAAAGTAGGCATAAAAAGTATGAATACACCATTTATTAACCCTAAAACTTCGAACTGTGCTGCAAAACCTATCCCACTTTCTCAGTTTAGACGTGAACAGAATTTGTCATTTATTAAAAACAATAATTCAACTTCTAATTCTAATCAACTTCGTGTGTCGTGGATTACACATGCAAAATCCTCGTCCAATTTGTCTAGGAATAGTAATGCAGATAATAGTCCAACAATATCTATTACACCAAAAAGTAATAATAGTAGTTTGCTTAAGAAAAGTGGATTAGATATTGCAAATGCTGTTGGGGGTTTGTTATGTCTGGGTGACCAACGGACAAGTAACAGCGAGAGACAGAAAAGCATTGGTACAAATACAGGACAAAGTGTAAAACAGAAAAATTTGAGTACTGAATTATCAAAATCTGCATCTTCTGTGCCAAAATCTATTGCCAATGTGAATAGCCACAGTAAATTTGCTCAGACAATTCATTCAAACAATGAGGAACCTGAAACTTGTGATGTTTTTACTCAGTCAAGCATGTCTCCTAACAATAGCAATTTATCTTCTAATGAACAGATTTGTGAGCGTTTACCTTTAGGAGCAAATGTAGAAGTAGCTACATCTGCACGTGAATTAGTACCTCCAAAGATCTCTGGAACCTTTTCAGGAAGAATTCAATCAAGCAGTTCTTTGTGCAATGATTCTGTTAAATCGTATGCAGTGAAAAGAATACCATATGTTACTCAACTGTATCAAATCAGTGATGCCCAAAAAGATGTGTTAAGCTCCATAAAAACAGAAATCTCCCCTGGCAATGGGAGTGATCCAGGAGGTGGGTGGGAAGTGCAAAGTGAAGTGGGAAATGTAAATGGTTCAATCTACAAGGTAATGAACATTCCAAAGACTGAAATGAATAAGCTTATCAAACGGGGTAAAGTGAATGCTTTTGTAGGCTCATCCCCTATAAGTGCAATGAAGAAATTTGATCATTCAATAACATTGAGTAGAATTCCTGGCCCACGGCCAATAAAAGTGTCAACTGATCCCGTTTCTGTCACAATTCAAGAAAAGGCTCCAGCTACAGCAGTTAAAAGTGAAATGAGTATTGACAATGTTACTCCAATTCCTAAACCGGGCAAGAGAAGTGTGTCAGTTCCCTGTGTGCCATCTTTAGTTAATCATAATATTTGTTTAGCTCCTGTAGGAAGTTCCCAATCATCAAGTAACACATTCAACAGAAGTGAAAGCACTTTTCATATTGTACAACTTCCTGCAAAACGAAGAAAAGTTCAAAATAAGAGTGGGCGTCGTAAACAAACAATTTCAGATTTTACAGGATGCAAAGGGCGGACCTCTAGTTCTCCACCAAAATGTCATACACAGGATATGACAGCGCTGCAAGAAGTATTTGACACTGTTGTAAAAAGTCCGGTTTTCAATGAAAATTCCATTCAGCCAGAATATTATGAGACTGAATCATCATATAAGTGTGCAATGATACCTACAAGTAACGATTTGTTGGTACCGAAAATTGAACCAGGAGTGTGTGCCAGAAGTAATGGACCGGACCATGCTGTGCCATCAGTTTTACCTCAGAGCTATCCATCTATTGAACAACACAATGGTGGGTGTTAACATTTTTTTATTGTAACATTTGAAATGCATGAATTTTCCAGCACAAAATCACGCATTGCCCTTGTCATGAATTGCTTTCAAGTGGTAGTATTGGCTGAAAGAGTATATTTTGGTTGAGTATTTGGGTATTAATTAATGAATGAGTGAATGAAATTTGCAGTGCACTCTATAACGCTTTATATTGGGTGTAAAACATGTTCTATGATGCTTTACTAGATTGTGTATTGGGTATTAGGATAATGCACTTTATTTATTTATATTTCTTGTATCTGTTTTATTTTGTGAGGCTTTTATTTTCTTCCAATTTTTGCACAGGATGTTTTTAAGCTCAATACATTAATTAATACACTGGTATAATCACAAAGCTGAAATTGTTTAATGCATTTTCATTGGAAAGGATACTGTATTTACTAGATTATAATACATTGTGTCCTGAATGTCTCGTACGATAAATACAGGTTGTTTTACATTTGTGAATTAAGCCTAGTTGGTTTGGGATCAATGTAAATATTGTGCAGTTATTGCACTAGCTCGGACATTCTTACAAATTTTGGCAATGTAGAATACGCTGTTTTATATAATTATGTAATAATTTATTAAAATTATATTTTTTATAATTGAAAAGCTTTCATCATACAATCTAACAAATTTCATTCATCGAAGTAGATTGGCCAACCTAGTCAAGCAAAACAAGGACTGGACACTAATGCCAACAAAATACACCGGAAATCACCAGCTTTGTGCCTAGACTTCTAGCATTGTCACCTAGGTGGGACCTCAAGATTGCAGGCACATTGCTGGACAAAGCTGTTTATCACAGAGATTGCCACTGACTTTCAATAGAATTTGTGGTGGCTCCCGTAATGGGTCCAGAAAATTAATTGAATGGTTCACTGCCTTCTGTGTAAAGTTCTGTCAAATAAGGTTGTTATACTCTGCCACAAGAATGTCATTATAGTTGTCCCTGGGACAACATGCTGCAGATTCATAGGAAGCAATGTATTGTTGTCCCTAAGATTTCCTGAGGAGATCTCCTTGATGTTCTGATGGAACGTAACAAAGACCTATGTTACCTGTACTGTCCAACCCCAGTGATATTTTGAGCAGCTAATTTTATATTCAGCTATTTTAACTACATAGTAAAGTCTAGGTGACTACCCAGTGTACCTTGTGCCCATAAACAAATAACACATCTATACATACTCCATGGCACAAGGCACCCAGAAAACAGTGGTGAGGCATTTGTCAAACCGTAATGTTGGTTAATAGTTTGCAACAAACGCCATGTGTATCGCAGCATATTTCATGTCAAATGCAAATCACAACAGCCATCATTACTCCCATTTCTGCAATCTATATACTGTTGAATATTTTCTTTAAAATGGTATATGATGACTAGAGCCCAGAAGTTCTGGTATTTATTTTACCTAAAATAGGCGGGCAAAAAGGCATTTATACATACTAAAATAGACATGTACAAAGGCATTTATCCCGGCTAAAATACAGGTGCAATCAATGAACAATCACATTTAAAGGGAATTATTGTAAAAAATTAATAATTAAAATTATTCACAGTTTTATTCTGACTCTAAAATTTACATTAGTACTTACGTATAAGGAAATGATATTTTCTTTGTAATCTTGATTCCCCATTACAACCCGATATGATGATTATGAATTTGTATTATTCATGACGCTGACTCTTCAAAATACAATTGTGGACTCCCTTTTGAAACTTGAAATGGCATTGGGCAAAATGGAATTATATTTTTCGTTCTTCACTCTTTTCTAATTTCTAGCACTGAGAAGGGTATATCATATACGGAGAACTCTGACTTCAAAAGAAATCAGAGACCATTCTCTTAAGTAGGATGAGATTCATCGCAAGTGAACAAAGTCTGTCGTATCAATGAGAAAATTAAAAATTTTCAATGGTATTTTATTTTTTTCATTCAGATTTTTAACACTACCTAGCTATGGAGACTTCACTTTCACAGAAAGATAAAAGGACCTTGCTTTCATGATATCTAGTCTTGCAGGTATGTTTTCTGCTTGGTGGAGACTGGTGCCTGGAGAAAAAAAAAATTAAGTGCTTCCTTTTGTTAAAACCCATGAAAACTAACAATAATAAAAAGGTATTTTACCAAACTTATAGCTCTAGTAATGACGTTTTTCATTAGGAAATTCAGTGGAAATTTTTTTATTTTGCCATACTTTATCAATCTCTTGTACTTTGAAAAGTAAGACAGATCGATGAAAATTATTTTCTTTAGCTATTGAACCACTCTTTAGATTTAATCCTTGTGCCAGTCGTTATGTACGTTGTCATAATGCTGTACTGTTATATCAACAAAGCAACTAGGTGAATGAAAAGCCACCCTTAATGGCCGGTTTCTGTTGTGGATTTCAGCAGCCTACTATTGAAACAATTGCCTGCCTGAACAATTGAAACAAATCAATTTCAAAGATTGAAGATGGCTTATGAGTACTCCTATTCCAAGAAATGTTTTGAACAACTCATGGTCGTTTTTATAATAATAATAATAATAATAATAATAATAATAATAATAATAATAATAATAATAATAATAATAAAATTTTAAAAAAGGGGGGGAAGTACGTAAGTGATTTTCGCAACTCTGCCCTTGGCAGATATCTGCTGTTGAGTTTTATCCAATCAGGAACTTGAAAGTCACCATAGTGATGTCACTATGGTGACATTCAAGCTCCTGAGTGGATGAAACCTTTCACCAGCTGATGCCTGCCAATGGCAGAGTTGCAGAAATCGCAGAATAGGTTGGTTATAAATCCCCAGCTATCGCCCAAGTTCACTCATGTCCATTATTTGCTCTATATCAGCCTAATGATGTTAATGACTAGTGTCGTTATGTGTTATAGATACCCAATTATATTTCCAAACGTGTAAGGCAATTCAGATTATTAAATTTCAACTGAGTCTCATATCAACGGTGTTAAAGGAAGTAAATGCAACTTCAAGATGGATAAAAACCACCCCTGAAATTTTATTGAGGCATGAGGTTATAAAAGTCTTCAACTTGATAGTAACTTAATAGTTATTAAAGCAGCAGAGAGAAAGAAAATTTGATGCCAACAAGGGATTGTGTTGTTAGGTGGTGTCAGATGAAAGACAAAAATTCAATGCGCAAAACTGTCAGGGAGACCTAAATGTCTAATAAGTAGCTCATGGAGAAAGTCCGGAAAGAGAAAGAAATATGATAAGGAAAGGTGATAGAGACAAAATTGAAGATAATTATTATGACAAATCATAAATACAGTTTGCGAAATATTAAGGCAACTTTCTGCAAATGATAGAATCAGTTTAAAGTGAATATTTTATATAACAAAATCAAAGAACTGCAAAGAACAACTCAGAATGTTCAAAATTCAAACTCTTCCATCAATGTACAAATCTATATGTCAATATTGCTATTGTGTAATTTTTATTCTGCCCAATCAATAATTGTAAGAATTTTTCTTATCAGTTCTTATTCTGGGAATGACTTCGACCAACAACTGCCTATTGTATGTACATACGCTATTTTGGTTTGCAAGGTACCTAACGTAACCTAACGCAATTTGTCTGGCTCAGTCTTTCCATTTTTAATTATGTTTCACCTCTAAAGCTCCTTGTCTTCTTTCTGACGTTTCCTTTCCATATTGCAGTGTGCCTTTTCTTTTCCTTGATGTTTTCCTCTGTGGATGAGATGAGCATGCTCATCTATTATAATCTCTGTTATGACTAGGTCTGGATAATTGTGAACTAAAAATTAGGAAAGTATGTACATATATGTATCGTAATACATAGAAATATGTACTCAAAAGTAAGAAATATGATACTGATATAACAGATTAATTATAATTTTTTCAATTAATTTTATTAAAATACTTTGTCTTGCACAAATTTCACTTTCTTTAAAGATGTTCTTACTCAAGATGCTTTTGAATGACTTCTCTGAGAAGGTGCATCATACTTTGCCTGTGGCAAATTCGCACTCTGTGTTACTATCGCCCAAGAAGGCAACCAATCGCCACGGATTATTTTCTGTCTTTACTTATCCAAAAGCGGCCATGCCACATCCTTATTTTACTTCAGATTTTCACCCCAAAGAGATAATTTACAAACAACGATGGAGGCTCACGTTTCACAAATGGGGAAAGAAAACTGACAATGAGATGCTTTGGTGTGTGTAGGTTTGGTGCAGAATATCAAGGGAGACCTGTGAAAGATACATTGTGGACGCAAGATATCGCTTACTACACGTATCCTTTTCACACACCGTATCCTTTCTGAGCAGTATTCTATTCTCTGTTATACTTGTGCTAAAATCTAACACACCAGAAGCTTTAGAATCGATGCCTTGCCTTTTTGTTTTGCAATATGATATTGCATGTTGCAATATCGACATTTTAGCACGATGCAATAGCACCAATTTAGAGAGAAGGCTACAGAAAAAAAATGTTTGACAAGGCTGAACTTGTTTGTGTGGGTGATTCCTTATCAAAAGCATATAGGGTAAATGAAGAATTATACAAAAAGAATGTAGGAAAGTGGAAATATTAACAAAATATGTAAATAGTATATGTACTAAAACATATTTAAATACTAACCGATGTGAAACATGAATATATTGTTGATTTGACTTGGCAGTTATCTTGAGAAAATATGTAATTACATAAGTTTTCGGGCCCTAGTAATGGCTAGTCTGCCAGGCTAGTCTGCTTTGTCATGACTCTAAGAAATCGTCCTCTTCATTATTGCATTGATGACTGGTTAACAAAACAAGTAACCAATGAGATCGAAGCTTCCAACGCCATATTGGACTGAGATTTCTCTTAAGCTTGTATACCAAAACTTTTTAAAAGCTGTATTCTTGAAGAAAAGCCAAGTGTGAACTTAAATAACATATTACACTAATAGAATAACAGTTGGAGTTTCATTTAAAAGTGAGTGATAGCCACTATTTATAC